TATTCCAATGGATTCTGTGTTTACGCTAGCAAGCGTGTAAGAATAAAGGGTGGAGAGCGGTTTGCATCCTAAATGGTGAGAAATACGAGACTGAAAGACACACCGGACCATAAAAATTTAACGCGTTATATTCACTTAATATAAATGACAATGTAATTTACGAAATGGAATCATGTTTTTATTGATTATGTCAGCAAATGTGCACCTCTCTCCCCTATATAATACATTTCTATCGTACTTGTAAGCTGTGATTGAAATCCTATCTTTCAATTCGTAATCATTGGCTTACGAATTGTTATTTATCGATTAATTTATATATGTATATGTATAATTGTATACATATATATATATATACATATATGCATAAAACCGTCTGATAAAAACCGCTTTAATAGAATTTGAAAAAGATATTGAAAATGCGCGAAAATTTTTTCCTGTAAATAAGCGTTGTGCCTGCGCACTTAGTCAAACGAAAAAATTCTTATTAAATTTCTTGTACGATTTCTTTTTATCTTTACATAATTTGACAACTCGAATATATATTTCGAGTATTTTATCTTCTTTTTCAACGTATATTGTAGAAAAAGAAAATGTTTCCAAAGCTTCAAGTTATATTAATATGCGGTAAATAGAGAGAATAAACATCTAACTTTTAAGTTTTTTATTTTGTTTTAAGAATCTTCTCATATATACGTATACATTTTTTCTATAGGGGAAAAAATATGTGATGTACTTAAAATTTTTTTATCCTTATATAAAAAATATTTCAAAAAAATTAAAATTTCATATTGTTATTATGTGAAATTATCAGTTGATGATATAAAATTATATTTTTAAAGAATTTGTATTCAATAATAGTTAAAAAAGTTATTATTTCAAAAGATTACATAATATATTTTATTTAAAATTTACATAAAATTGTTCCATTAAAAACATAGTACAAGTTAAAGTACAAAAGTAATAAAGAATAGAATATCATTTATAATGTTTTCTTTTATATACTTAGCTATTTTCATTTGTAATTTCTGAATTTTGAGAAATTTTTAAAATTGTTTCAAAATTAACTAATTCTCTATGATCTTCTAGCATTTGTACATAAAATGGTTCATTTAACATATGACTTGAGGCAGCAATAAAATTTACGATTAATTTTTTCATCATATTAATTTTTTCTATTGTTTTATTTATTCTTTCTTTGTTACTAAAAAAAATTGAATAGAACCTAAGTTAAAATCTTATTGATATATTGTGGCACAGATATACTTACATTGCATGCTGAGGATTTGTTTCTTCTAATCTTTTGTTGCGTAATTCCTCCTGTTCCTTTAAAAAATCTTTATATTCAAATAGTGCATTTCGACATTGAATTTTTAACTCCAATTGCTTTTTTAATGCATTTTCTATTTCTTTTTCTATAGTCAAAATATTATCATTCAAAACAAAAAGTTTACACATAAATGCATAAATTTTTCTGAAAAGATATTAAAATTATTAAATATTTTTTTTTTTTCTAAAATTTTAAGATTCAAATTATTTGACTTTTCATACTTTTGCATATCATGATCACCTTCTTCACCTGTTAGAATAGCTTGTATACCATAAGAATGCAAACACAATTTAATTGCTGCTTTATTTATAAGAGAATTTGCTGTTGCTTCATGTAAATTTGTTACTATATTTTCTGTATCTTCTTCCGACTCTTCATTTCTTTCTGAAATCATTTTCAAAAATGTTTATATAATCATAATTTGTTTTGTATATAATACTTTTATAACATACTGTATTCATCTTGTGCTTTAAGTAATAATAATTTGGCATTTAAATGTTTCAATGACTCTCTAGTAGTTTTAATTTTTTCTTCAATTGGTTTAAAATCTTCTATAGAGACTGCTCCAATTGGAAAATTATAAATATTTTTACTCAAGCATGCAATAGCTTGTATTAAATTTTCATATTTAGACATTTTGTATATATTTATAATGCTGTTATAATCATATTAATTGATTACAAATAATAATAGTTGAAGATAATAGTTGAGGATATAATATAATAATTTAATTCTTATTCTTGTATGTGATTGGTAAGTTTCATAGTATGTTGATGACAGATAAAGAAAAAAAAAAACTTTTATTTTGTTAATATTTTTCCTTAAAAATTTATCTTCTTTCTTTTATATTTAATTTTTTACATAAATTATTGAAAAGAATTGCATAACTAAGTTAAGAAAAAGATATATTCAATATATTTTTTCTTCTATCTCAAAGAAATCAAGATTCTTTTTCATTTTCAATGATTATTAATTCGATTCAAAATAAGATAACAATGTTAAGAAAAATAACAATTGTAATTAAATTTCAATATAAAGTTATAAATAAAAAATATAACATTTATATTATACTTCAATTATATTTATATAAATTATTA